ATGCAGAACCTGACTGTAAGATGCATTTCAACCAACAACCCTGCAATCAGAACCATCCAATGGGGATAGACTGAGTGGGTTCTGCACCTTTGGCCCCACCTGACACCTTTCTCTAAAGGATGGTAGGATGGGAGTGTAGGGGGCTTCCATTAAGAAATATGTGCCCAGTACCTGTGAGATCAGGTCCAGGGGCCGGTCAATAATACGGACATCAAAAACACAAATTTAAAGGACAAAAAAAAACGAGAATAGAAAATAATTCATATTAAAAGATCATGATGGATATTATTATGAGAACATAATATTCCATATTCATTACTTTGTGTGTGGATTAAGCAACAGAGATGCAATGTAAAAGATAGATGTAGTGATAGGTGGATTTTTTAAGACAGAGCCATGCTAGCTTCCCTCTGCCTCTGGTCTTTATGCTAAGCTAAGGTGGCTCTAGCGTCATGAGGCCCACAGACATAAAACTGGAGTCACTTTATTTGAGTATTTCCATCTTATACTGCTTTATAATTCAACTCCCACTACATTTCAGAGAGAAATGTACTTTTTACTCAACTTATTTGAAAACTTGCAGTTACAATGCAGTTGCAGATTAATAATACAAAATGTAACCACCATACAAATTAGGGGGTGTTAATGGCTAAAGATAATGCTTTATGGATCCCTGGGGGGAATTCACAAGCCTCCTGGCAATATTGTAAAAAAATAAGACCCACTTTTGTGAGCTGCAAGATTAAATTGATGAATACATTAATTCAGTGATATGTAATAATCTAAAGATAGATCAGAATGCATTTTTGTGCTGTAAGTACATTTGTATGCTAATGTTGTACTTTTACTTAAGGTTTTTATTGAAGGACTTTTTTTTACTATCTGAGTACTTCTTCCAGCTGAGCTTTGAAACTTGCAGACAGGAAACATAGTATATGCCTGTTTTCCAAAGGGTTAAATCCTCAACTGTTTTTGCTACTGAGTCCGGGTCTTGGATTAGGTCGGTCCGTTAATATCCAACACCACCCTTTGAAGCCGGTGACATCGAATGTATCCAGCAAGCTATTGTTAGATGAACAGAACCGCCAATGTAAAAATGTTCCAGTTGTATTTTGAAGGCGGAAATTAAAACTGTGTAAACACCGGTCGACTTGACACCACTCAGCACGGACGATTTCTCTAGAATCGCGTGGTGTTGCGTGGAGTGCCCGGAAGATATAAATGAACGCCCCATTCTTCCTGAATCATATGTTCATAACCGAGACAGTCAGGACATATTCTATTATATATTATACCATTCCGCACGAACAGTCTATAAACAACGAGGACAAAACAGCCACAACGTAAGTTATTTTGCTGTCTGTATGAATACGGAAGAACAACCTATGTTTTGTTTTTGGAACTGTTTCGTTTTAAGTTGGATATAAAGTCGATCTTAACGTGCGTGGTTTTAAACCTAATTATCGTGAGTGTTAGTTGTACTTTTTAAGTGATTTGGCAAATTATCTGCTATTATTGTTATTTTTGTTATTAATAATATCAGTAGTGTTGTTATTATCAGTATCATTACTTTTGGTGGATAAAAGACGACAAAATTTAATACAATTTTAAACATAACTCAAACATGATACATTCTCGATTGTGAGACAATAAATCAAAACGCATTATGCGTTATTGACTTTCTCTCTGTGATGGTGTTCAGATGGTCTCTGTTTGTTCTGTCGGCTAACTGCAGATGGCCCAGTGGCAGGACCTGCTGAAGCTGGACTCAGTCCTCCAGGCCCGAGTGAGCCAGCTGTACGAGAGGAAGTTCCCCAGAGAGATCCGCCAATGTCTGTGCGTCCCCATAGAGAGCCAGGACTGGTAAGAGAGACACACCTGGCCGTTAGGGGGCTCTCATCTATAGGTCCACGGTGTAACTTCAGTAGTCAGTGTGTAGTAATTGCACATTTGTCAATAGCCTACTGTGTACACCATTGATAAATGATAGGGGTCTTAAAGTCACACTTGCGTTATTGCCATTTAAAACTCTTTTGTAGGTAAAATCTAGTGTTTTTTTTTAGTCAGTTTGTATTGTCCTTAAGTGATGTATTTTACTTAAAGATGTTTTGCTTAATCTAGTTACCACAAACTAATTACAAATTATTAACCAATGCATACAAAAGGCACATAGAGTGGAAAAGATGGGTAGGTCCTTTTTTGTCCAGGTGACCCCTACTGGGTTAGCCGGTGCCTGTCCTGAAAGCTTATCTAAGCTTTATCTAAAATTAAAAACTATAATTTTTCATGATTTTGATGAAAAACAGAAATCTATGTACTGAACAATGTATAGTATGTGATTACTTAATAATAATAAGAAGAAGTTGATGATAAAGAGGAAGAAGAAAAAGAAAAGCCTAAAAAATGCAGCAAAAAACCCCAATATACTGTAAATAAATTGTTTTGGGACACAGATTATACACCCCTGTTAAAAATATACAGTTCAACTGTCTGGATGGCCCAAATTTGTATTTCTAATTGGTGGATTTAGATCTAGTAGATTTACCTCTTTTCACTGTTCAGAAATGTCCCACAAAGTGTGCCCTCATTCAGCACACATAGACAGACATAATCCCTAAGGGAATGTACATTTGTGGTTGCTCGTTGACAGGGATTCGGCAGCTGTGGATGAAAACAAAGCAAGCATTTGTTTCCATGTACTCCTGGAGTATTTGGAAGACCTGCGGAACTGTTCTGTTCAGGAGAACAACATCTTGCAGGGACCTAATTTTTCAGGGATGAAAGACTACTTGCTGGTAGGACAGACATGCTGTTATGTGAACTGAACTGAACATTACATTAAATATTTAAGTTGGATTTACCTTAATTTGTATACTCAAAACAGAATGATTGAAACCTCTTATTGATTTTGTGTGTATGTGATTATTATTATCTTGTTTAACTTAGAAACACTTTGAAGATAAGCCTCTGAACTTGGCCGTAATCCTGTCTGAAAGCCTAAAGGAGGAAAATAAAATCCTGGCTTTAGCCTCTGAAGCACAGGTAAGATGGTATCAGATGGATGAACTATTAACGAATAATGTGCTAAAGATTATTCGAATCTGAGTTTTGTTTGATTTTACTATTTTGTTCCTGCTCTGAAGGGACGCATCTAAACCCTGTTTTTTGCATTTTTGCAGAGCACCCTGAAATGTAACTTGCGGTTCAAAAGTCACACATTGTGATAAGAGTCTGTTTTGTAAAAATTATTAATTTGTGAAATTATATGTCTTTGTCAGGGTTGCAGCAGTCTAGCCATGAATCAAACATGGAAAGAGTTGGACAACAATGTCAATGAACTGAAAAAACAGACTTCGGTAAACTCACTTGGACTACACAGTTTGCTGGTTTGTTTTCCACCTGACAGCCATCCTGGAGGGCAAAAAACACACGTCACCATTTCTAATTTTCTGACTTTAAACTCTTAACGCAGGAGGTGAAGAAGGAAATGATGTTACTGGAGTTCTTAAATGAAAACGTTGACTTCATACAGAAGACCTGGCCAAGCCAAGGTACTGTATGGTAGGAGACAAAAAATAAACAGGTGGCAGGTTTGGTGTGATTTATTTTTTTCTTTTGCGTCATGGATGCATCATTTGTCGTTTCCAGTGGAGCAGCACATTGGATTGGCCAAGTCTCATGCTGTTGTGGAAGAGGAATGTCTTAAGCGGACCAACTTAATCACACAAAAGAAGCAGGTACTGTAGATGCATGTTTGGTGAGTCGTTGTTGACACAGCACAAACTGATAAACCACTTACTCAATGCGTTTTATGCTTTACATGTTGAAAGCAAGAAAGTTAGTTCCAACAGTGTTGGGTTTGTTGGGTATAGATTGTTATTCAAAGCACGTTTTCTCCCATTCCGGTTATTCTTTCATGGAGTTGAAACACTTTACTTTGCTGTTTTTTAAGTTATGGATGCATTTCTTGATAAAATGCTCGATATAATGGTTGTAAGCCACAACAATTTTTACATTATTTTCTCCGTCAGACGTAAGTGTGTGTGGGGGGATCATAATGTCGGTCGTGCGTGTACGTGCGTGCATGTATCTGTCTGTCCGCAGCTAATCTCGCATATTGCTGGACGCATTAACCTAATATTTTTTGTGCTCATTTATGACTGTATGCTTGAGGCATGGTTGCGGTGATTTATTGTTTTATACCGTCATTGACTGCTGACTCATCACTCTTCTTAACCGGCTGGTAGGGGCTGCAAGTGCTCAACAGCCGCTTCAGCACCAAAAGGCACGTCCTAGCAATCAGCTAGGCTAAAAGCAAGCCTCAACTTTTCTGTTGCAAGCCACATTGTGGCCTTTGTTGTGGCTCAAAAACCGAATGTACTTTTTTTGTCATGCAGATGGTGCTGCAGCAGATATCGAACATTTTGAACCTGGCACAGAAGATTGTGGCCACTCTCACAGATGTGGAGCTACCTGAGTGGAAGCGCAGGCAGCAGATGGCCTGCATTGGAAGTCCAGCTGACGCCTCTCTGGACCATCTCCAGAAGTGGTGAGAACGTATTAGCACTACCATTGTCATGATCCGTGTTGAGGAAACGTCTGAGTGTCGCATGTTGTCACACTGAATACCTTATAACAAACTCGATGCTATGTGTGCCTGTGTTTGCTCATGTTGTATGTGCAGGTTCACGACTGTGGCGGAGACGCTGCTGCAAGTACGCGAACAGCTGCAGAAATTGCAAGACCAGAACAAGAAATACAAGAGCGCTGATGCCTCCAGCCTCACAGGTCCCATGGCAGAAATTGAGAAATTCACGCTGTCCTTGTTAACAAAACTTCTTGCAAAGTGAGACATGGCGTCAGGGCTCTTCTGTGTCATATATTACAGACTGATACATTACTCTTTCATATTGTCGACATGTTTTGTTGTGGTCTTGCTTTGCAGTGCTCTAGTGGTTGAGAAACAACCTATCATGTCGAGTTTACCACAACGACCTCTAATACTTAAGACCGGTGTGCGGTTCTCAGTGACGGTGAGGTAAGGCTGCACATAACACAATGTTGCTCTGCTACTTGAGATGAATGATATGTCTAATACATAATTGTCAACTGTGGAGCGATTTTAGGTTACTTAATTTGCAAGAAATTAGCTTTTTGTTTCACGCACAGCACTTTTTGAACGTGCTGTCTGGTCAAATACAGCACTGTACTGTAAGAGGTGTTACTGTAATTCATATTACAGCAGCTGCCTTTTCTGTGGAATTATGAGCGTTCATCGTAAATGCTATCGTTTTCTAACGTGTTGACAATAAATGTTCCATGTGTGAAGATAAAGCCACGTTAATCTTTTCCACATCAAATACTTAGTTAGTGCCAGTAAGCTTGGAAAGTGTCTGTGTCATTTTTGTAGCCTGCTCCTTTGCGGAGGACGGCAGCTGTCGTCAGCCTGGATTCATAGCAGTAACAATGGATTCCATTTGCCACAAAAATCCTCACACCAACCCGAACTTCTAAAACTATTTTATCAGGCCTTGACATATCAAATTAACTTATTAACATTTTATCTTAGTGAAATGCCAAATATGAGCTTCAGAGCATAAAAACATAATTCTTAAAATAGTTTTGGGATGTATTTTATGGACAGATGGAGATTTATTTTTTTTTTATTCTGCCAGTATTTGTTTCTTCTTTTCTCAGGTTCTTGGCAAACCTCCCAGAGTTCAAGTACCTGCTCAAAGTCAAACCTGTATTTGACAAGTAAGTCAAAGAAAAGTTCTATCTTACGTAAAGGTGTTTTCCATTACATTTTTAAAGTTTTTTTTTAATTTTTTTTAATTGATTTTGTTTGTTAGTTTTTTAATAAAAACTCTTTAGTCTTTGTTTTCTTATCAACCTTTTTTATTTGTTTTGTCACCTTAAAGAGATGTTGAAGAAGCCAAGACACTTAAAGGGTAAGTAAAGGGAAACAAAACAATTTTAAAAATCTGAAGTGTAAATTTAACTATTCTTAGAAACTACTGATACATCTTTGGACATTAACGCTTTCCGGTCTGATGTGGTTGTAGGTTCCGTCATTTTGACTTCAACAAGGACGACAGTAAGGTGTTGGACATGGACTCGCTCTGTGGAGGCTTTGTGGCAGAATTTGGTCACATGGTATAAAACTCCTCAAACTGCTTAATTTAGAAGCTGAAGAAGCACTCAACCTTTGATCATTAAACGAATATATAGCTTTGTGTTTTATGAACATACATGTTATATATTGCACATCAAACAAATATAGTAGAGTATATAATGAGTAATGAATTTTTTTTTTTCAGTCACTCAAGGAACGCAAAGCAAGAACCAAAGGATCACATGTGGTAAGATGAGGCATTCAATTTGAATTAACTGCTATTTGTACTCTATACACCATGTCTTGGTCACCATTGACTGGCTGTGGACATTTAACAACGTTTACAGCTCTGAATGTGTTCCTCATCTGCATGAAAGTGGAGCCAGTTATCCAGCCAGATGTGGGGCAAACTGTGTTTTGAAAATAAATACCTCTTGGCACTTGATACAAGTGTTTCATTTGTATCAGATGCAATTAAATGTTATTTCCCCCCCACATTACCTCTACGTGCTTGCAAATGATTAAACAAATAATTCTTCCTTCTCTCTTTCTTCTTCATCAGAATCATCTGCTGGTCACTGAGGAACTCCACATCATTAAGTTTGTGACAGGGTTTCAGCACGCTGGGCTGGAATTTAACATCGAGGTGAGTAAACGCGTCACAACACATTTCAGTCGGAGGCGTTTCAATTTCTGTGTGCTCTCTTTGCCGCTGAACTGAAGATATTATTGGCTGAAGAGGAGGCCCTATTGGAGCAGAACAATTGTAGCCCGGCTGTTTATTTAACGGCCTCCTCCTCCTGTGTTGGTAAAGGCCAGCTCTCTGCCTGTGGTTGTCATCTCCAGCACCAATCAGGGCGTCAATGCCTGGGCCTCCGTCATGTGGTACAACATGCTGTCCGCCGGTGAACCGCCGGTAAAGCCATCACACTTCAACACAACAAATAAACAATATCAGGCTCTGTTTAGCTACATGATAGGACACATCCAGATTACACCAGTCATACTTTGGGTTTATGCCTCTTTTTTCTCTTCTACAGTTTGTACCATTTCCTTTCTTCTTATTGTTTTGCACAGCTTCATATTTGTAAGTCCAATTGTCCAGTGTTGAATCACATTTGAAGCCTGTGACTCTGTTCTGTAGAACCTGTCGTTGTTTGTCGACCCTCCTCCACTCAGCTGGCAGCAGCTCTCACAGGTTCTGAGCTGGCAGTTTATGTCCGTTGGCCAACGAGAGCTCGATGAAAACCAGCTCTCCATGCTACGAGACAAAATTTTGGGTGAGTGCTTGACTGCTTCTTGCATGCAAATTGAACCACGTCCCTTTCTAGTGTTTGTTTGGAAGTTGGTCTAAATTGATTCTACAGAAAATAAGAATAAAACATACTGTACTTCCACAAAGGATCAGTATTGGAGAGTGCAAATCATTTGCTAATTCGCCTTCTTTCTAAGTGTGAGAAGAGAAGTTTGATACGACTCTCATGTCTGTGTTATAAGCTACAGCCAGGAGATGGTTAGCTTAGCATAGCACAAATACTTGAAACGGGGAAACAGTTGGTGTCTCTCTCTCTCTCTCAGTACAAAAAACAGATGTTAAAAACAACATATTTTGGTTTTACCGGGGGTTATGTAGTCTACTGGACTATTTCTTGACTGGGCACAGTCTTTATGCTAAGCTAAGCTCCGCTTCTGAAGCTTGATACTGCAAAGACAAGAGAGTGGATCTGCTCATCTAACTAAAGAAAGCGTATTTGTCAAACTATTCTTTTAAAACACTTTCAGCGTCATCTAATTATATTTAATTATATGAGAGAAAAGTGAAAAAAGCAAGTGTGTCCATATTTTTGTTTTTGGAAACCTGTGTCAATATTACAAATATAATTTCATGACATTTCTTATTTAGGCTAACTGTTAGTTTCTTCACAGATGATCCTGATGGTCTGGTTCAATGGAGCAAGTTCTCCAAGGTGAGCGTTGAGCAAGATTCTGGTCGACTGTTGTTTACTCTATTTCTACAACCTGAGGGACTTCAGTGTGTGTATGTGTGTATGTTTACATATTGACTTTTTCTTCCCTGTGTGGGCAGAATGAAAATGCCTGGATTTGGATTGATGGAATCCTGGATTTGATCAAAACACACTTGGTGAATCATTGGCGGGATGGGTAAGACGCAGCCCAGTCAACTCAGCAATGTTTTACAGTTTGTTTTACTGTTTGTGTCATTCACAACAACCAAACATTTCTGAGTAGTATCACATTATACTTCCCAGTAAACTAAACACTCCTCATATTCTGTGTGTGGGTTTCAGGTCCATCATGGGGTTCGTGAGCAGGGAGAGAACAAAGGTTCTGTTGCAGGAAAAACAGACCGGGACCTTTCTGCTACGCTTTAGCGAGAGCAACAAAGAAGGAGCCATCTCCTTCAGCTGGGTTGACCACTGCAATGATGGTATGTTTAGTAGGATTTTAACTTTATGGGTTTCAGACAGATAGCCTTTCCTGACACGGCGTCATGTGACTTATTTCAACTTGTGCAAAATCCACGTATTCATGTTTTTACATTAACTTTGTATGTAATCACGTCGCACAAAAATGTTGCTTTGTATTTGGTGAGAACATACCATAACAGCATTTTCGTTCCCTGCCACAGTTTGTGTCATGTAATAACAAGTAAACACAAAAAATATATATTGTTTTAAGATGTCTCCTTTATTGTCCCTCCACATAAGCACACCAAAGCTAAAGCTAAATACAGCCCAAACAAACCACCATGAACTGAGAATACATAATGTGCAAATAATCATTGTGGCAGACTCGCTGCCTCCAGTGCTCCTGTCTTGAGTGAAATTATTCCAACACCAGACATTCCGGTATTTATCTCTGTGTTCGCTTACTTTTCTCTCTGTATGTGGTTCCCTTGTAGACGCCCATGTACATGCAGTAGAGCCCTACACCAAGAGTGAGCTGTCGGGCAAGGCTCTGCCGGACATCATTTACAACTACAGTCTGCGAGCCGAGAGAACGCACAGGAATCCACTTATCTACCTTTACCCAGACATCCACAAAGACGCTGTTTTTGGACGCTACTACAACGCCCCTGGTATTATCTCATGTTTGGCTTTCACCTTGAGGACAAAATTTGAATTGTTTCATAATTGGTACTTTTATACCCCATAAGTACAGGAATTTAAATAACTAAGTAAATGTTAATATTCCTAAAAACTTTATATGTATATTCTTCTAGATACGTATTGTCTAATTTAACATATATTGCATAACAACTTGATTTGACCTTCATGCAACGGTTGGAGGAAATGAAGCTCCTCACACTCGTTATGATTAATGGGTTCATAATGTTAATGTTGCAAATGATGCTGAGATTATCCAGTTTAAGTCATTGCCGTGTTCTTAGTAGCATACTATACTTAATTGAACATGAACCGTGTAATATTCTCTAATCACCTCTGTTCATGCAGAAACGCCGGCAACTAAAAAGATCAAAGATGACTACGTGAAGAGAAATAACATTCCTACCTCTGAGTAAGTAAGATAATCATGTTTGAACAAAAAAATACATCAGTATCAATATAAACAGTATTCACTATTATTCTATTGTTCAATGCTGTATATGAGGAACTTGCCTTCATTTTATACGTTTTCTTCTACAGCAGTCCTACGCCACCTCCGTCTCCACCTAGGGAGATGACTTTTATGGACATGGACATGGATATGGACATGGACACAGACATAAAAGTGGGTTTTGAAGTTTTACAAGACATTTCCCTACAGCGGCTTTTATTGATATTTTTGGCCGCTTTGGGGCAGTGGCACAAGCTGCTAACACAACATTGACATATGATAAATCAATAGCAGGGCTATATAACTATATTGTTCCGAGACGAAACATTTTCAGAAAGCTAAGGGCCCTGAGCTATCAGTCTCAATATGTATAGACACTTGACACAACACGCCATCACATTTTCAAAACTCAAAATTATTTGCGTGATTCGTTTTTTTGTTCAGTTTTTAAATTGTAAACAGAACTGATCGGCGGACCAGTCTGGCTTGGGCCACCAGATGAATAGGCCAAGGGAAAACAATTTGTTGCACTCCATTGACTTTGTATATAACAAGGACAGCATGCAACTTGTGTTATAGTGGCATGTGGATATATCAGAAACATGTGGATATATCAGAAACATGTGGATATATAAGAAACATGTGGATATATCAGAAAAATGTGGATATATCAGAAAGCTATGCAGTATGTTATTATGTTTGCAGGTGCCTTGGCTAACTACAATAACTTGCTTACACATAGCTAACATTAGCTTGCTAACAGCTAACTGGTCCCATCATCATTGTAGTTATCAACTGCAACCCTGGCAGACATAGTAGGGTAAAGCAATGGGTGTGAGAGGGGGGGGGACGAGGGCTCTTTCAGTGCATCAGAATAACATACCTTGCTAATTTGATCCATTTAATATGAAGATATTAAATAGTGCAGCTTTAACAATCATTCACCATTTCAGTAATTCCATTTTTTTTAAAGATGCAGTTTAATGAAGAGATAGCGTTTCATTTCCTTTGTTTGTATGAGACGGCTTTTCCTCTACAGTTCATTCAAAACAAAATCTTTTTGTTTTCCTGTAGCTGGTGGATTTACTCGACTTGCCTGAACTCCCCGACTTATTTATGTCTTTTCAAGAAGCATCAACTGAGACCAACTTCGAGACCAACTTCGTCGATTTTAATTAATTGCTCCTTCTGAAAATGTGCTGGGTCATTGTATCAGAATCAGACAGTTATCACAATGGGCAAAATTAATGAAATACATGGAATGTTGATTTTGCTAAATGTATATATTTTGCAATGTTACAAATTTTTAGGCAAGAGGTGGTTCTAAAATAGTGTGTGATGGTTTTCTACTGTACTGTTTAAATGTGATCTGCAAACTTTTCTACCTGGACATGACCACTTTTTGAATATGTCTTTGATTCAACAGAAGATCCTGCTGTCGTGCGTAAAAACACCAAACTCTACTGTGGATGTTCTTAACTTTTGTTTATTAAAATAAACATATCATTCCAGTGCCAAGAGAAATAACATCTGCATTTTACAGTACTGAACAACTTATTTATACAGAAGGACAAACACAGTCAGTGGCCTACTGTCTTGGCTGCTTGTTCTCAGTTTTTTCAGTCTTGAACCCCCCCCCCCCTACATCTTCTGGTCAAAACACACAAGCTTGCACTACTAAAAGATACCACGCTCTTTTAGAAAGCCGTTCAATATAAGAAAAAACATTTCATAAAAAAGTTTAAGAACAGCACAT